AGAAGGTGGAAGGTGGTTGGCTATGGTGGATGGGCGAAGGAGGGAGGTGGTTGGCTATGGTGGATGGGTGGAGGAGATGGTGGAGGAAGAAGGTGCAAGGTGGTGCTCAACGTTATCCCCTCCCCAAATCAAAGTGTCCGGGTTCGTCTCCCGGCATATTGCCTAACCCCGGACACAAATCACAATCCTACAGCACTAATCCTACAGCCTATATGCAGAAAACACAGTTTTATAGCAGACAGTCTGCAGAAAAATTCGCAGATTTTGCAGTCTGCCGATTTGGGCATTTTTGTCGTTTTGCTGTTTTTTTTACAAAGTTCGGAGTGCCGAAAAACACAGATCTGTGTTTCCTGCCCCAAACGACTCAGAATCACTCCAAACTTCGTGGGCCCTCTCACTGTACCACAGGGAAGGCCTTTGCAAAGTTTGGTTTGATTCTGATGTCGTTTGGGTCAACTTGCCCGTTTCGGGCGCCGTTCGGCCTCAAGGTGAACAGTTCGGGGAAGTCCGTTTTCTGATTTTTCATAAAAACGGACTCCGATGGTCTGCTGGGTCTGCAGGCCATCTGTTTATACCTAGGATATAAGGTCTGAGAAGTTTCAGGCCTCATACCCCACGTTTGACAGGTTTGTCATAGGGGTGTTCCCGAGTCATTTTAGCCCGCTTGTGGTTCTCGAGGCGGTATTGCGTCGGGCCGCTGGCCACTCGTTTTCCGTTGCTGCAGCAGGTGTTTGTCTTCGTCAGACCTTATCAGCAGCTAAGGACCTACAGCAATCAGAAACAGCAGCAGCAGCAGTAGCCGAAACAGTTGAAAAACCGCATTCTACCTACTTTTTAATTACCGCGTTCGAATAGAACACGGGGGTGGCCGAGATCATGCGGTATTTCAATTACAGCTCGGGGAGGGGGATGTGGCGGTTCACATGGGGGGTGAAGGATGAGAGTGAACAAGCACAAAACGTCATCAAAGCATTTGAATAAGCAAGAATCAAAGTTGCGATTTACATCCAAGTGGAAAAATGGAGAGAAAGTGAGAGTTGGGTGAGTAGAACTCACCCAAATGCATGAATTATCAAGGGGGAAAGTGACGATTTGCATGGGAGCGAAGAACAAGATTAC